GAAATAAACCAAATTGTTCATGAACATATTGAAAATTTTCTTTTGATCAAGCCTATTTTTTGAGTTATCACACCCTGACACCGGCTGTACAAATATTGTTCAAAATCAGAGTCACCCGGGAAGTTGGTTGTTAACAACGCATCAGTAGATGCAGTATTGTGAGGGTATATGGTTGTTTTAGTGCCGGTAAGATTATTTCGCCTGTCATCGAAATAATTTTAAATATGCACAGAACGGCAGCTATGCATCTAGTGATAGCGATGCATCATGAGTGGCCGCACAGCAGCGATTATTAATAGTTTCTGCATTTCACAGCAAACATTCGATATTGAGCCCAGATTAGTGAATTATGTTTTTTTATTGATTGAACATGGTGTGTACCTTGTTTTAGTAAAGGCATACATCATATTCAAAATGGCTGACTCGCCACTCGCACTACGCCCATTTCGACACATTTACATACCTCACATTTGGGTACAAATTTCAGTAATTAGGGGATAACTGCCAAGCTCTGCTCCAACAGCAATATTACTTGCCCTTTTGTGAACACCAAGTAGTTGTTTGCAGAATTTGATGTGGATTGATTAAATTTTTGAGCTATCACTAAATAATTTCTGAATAAATAGGCTTAAAATTTGAAGCTGCCCAAATTTCCGAGCCGTATAGTAGAATAGGCATAACAGAACTACAAAATAGTTTAATTGCATTAATTGGTGAGGCAATAGTTTGTTTTAGGACCCCTAGTGCTCGCTGTGCTTTCTTTACAGCGACTGTAAAATTGCCACTATTCTGAAAGGTGATCCCTAAGTATGTATATGTAAATACTACTTTTATTTGTTCATCGCATAAAAAAAAGATACCTTTTGTTGAATATAATAACTTTGGTTTTTTTGATGTTGACAGTCAGTTTCCACTTTTTGCAGTAGTCATTAGAGAGATTAAGACTGTCTTGTAGCCCAGAACCTGAATTTGACTGTATGACAATGTCATCCGCAAAGAGTAGACAGTTAAATG